CATTCCTGCCTGGGTAGAAAGAAGGATACGACAGAAAGAACAATTTATTCCAAAGCAGGCAAGTTTTCCTAAAATCATCCTCAAAATTCAGGTGAGAATCAGGAAAACAAAACCAAACAAGGCCTTCCTCATATGTCTGTTATCATGAACATGAATTTACAGGCAGGGTCAGTGTAAGCATGTTGCAGACTGAGACAGATAACAGTTCAGATTCCCAGGATATTCTCCTGTTTAACTCTCCTTTAACTCACTGCAGACATGCAAGTGTGTGCTCCCAAGCAGAGAAATAACAGGGGCTGCCAACTGAGCAATGGATTTATCCCCAGTTTCAGTTACTAAGTGACAAGACCAGCATCTAAATACTCTACATAACATATATGCTCAGGAGTAGGATTAAGTTTTCCAGCAAAAGAAAAGTCTTCTTGCATCCCCACCCTACAGAGATGGGGATCAAGTGCTTAAATTTAAATAAGAACTGGTAAAAATAGAAGACACAGACCAGAAGTACTGAAGGAAATTTCTGAGACTCTGCCATACTTACCTTCAGCTGTTTGGTTCCCTTTGCAGTTTTGAGTCCTATGATTACATGGCTGATGGTTTTGCCATACCCTCCCATAGGATTTTCAGTCTCACATGGAGTTAGTTCTGTGACTTCTCCTTCATAAACCTCCTTAGTCTCTTTAATCCTCAACCCTGCAAGAAATTGTTTAGAATAATTTCAGTACATAAATCAATGCCTGCGCACGCTTGGGAGGCTCTTGCATTTCTGCCAACAGAACATAACATGATTAGGCTGTATTGCATTTACTGGTAATATTTTACTTTCAAAAGTAGAAAGATCAATTATTTCTCTGTTCTTCAACATTAAGAGAGAATAATCACCCTGTGTCATCACAGAAAATTCAGTCCAAGTTCTGACCTGCAAAGAGGTTTATTAAACTCTAAGAAATTATTTTCCTTGTCTGTTATTATTAGTTCTTGAAGCAAGTGTCAGTGTCCTCTCTCTTTTCCCTCCCCCAAAGAGAGGATCTGCTTGATTTGTTCCCATATGCTCAAGTCAGAGAAACAGTTTGTCTTCTGAAACTAAAGATCAGAGACACTAATGTAACTGCAAACTTTCCAGTTTTTGTATCATCAGAAAAGCCGTTAAAGGAAAGAAAAAGATGGGGGAAAGAAAGTAACTTCATAAAAACATGCACAGGTATTGTGTTAGAACCTCATAAAATTAAGAAAATGTTAGTGTATCATTTAAAAGATTTTTTAAATTTAAACACAAAAACTGAACTAGATAAAATTCAGCATGCAAATTTAAAACTACTTCAGAATAGCTGACAATGACATCCTTACTGTGTTGGTTTTCAGACAGTTGATGAATCATCATAGTACCTGGGTATCTTTTACTATACTCATAACTGTTGCATTAGCTAAGTTATTTTAAATTGATGAACAATACAGAGATGAGGAGTTTTATGGTTAGACTGTTCCAAAGAAAAACCACTATCATCACCACCACCACTACAATTATGCAGACATTCTAACTACATAGAAGTTCAAAGAACCCACATCTGAAGAGACTCTATGAAGTATTTTATGAGACACACATGCCATACCAAAAATAATGAATGGGCTGTAACAAGATATAAGGAAGTCACCCTGCCCAGTCGGAGGCTATTAGGACTTTATAAAACTTTCCTTGTTCCATAAATTTTCGTTTTGCTTTGAAATAGATCAGACACTTCACCAGTAATTCTGAGCTGCTGATGGGGAATTACAAAGAACTGACAAGTATGAGTCTGTCTCCCTCTACTGGACCCAAATTAAGACCAGGGCTTAAAAGGTAAGAAACAGGTTAATTGTGGATAATATAATTTCTTAGGAATAAATATTTGCCTTCTCTTATTTAGTACTACATTAAAAGTTCTATATAAAGTTAATTTCAATGATTTTTTACTGTTTTTCAGACAAAAAAAATCAATGAACCTTTGAGTTATAAAACTGCCCTAGACAAGGCTGCATCACACAAGCTCACACTTGCAAAGAATGTGAAGAAGTATGGGAAACTGTGCTGTAAAACTGCTGAGACCTGGACATCCACAGGTTTGATTTTCCTTTTTGTTTTGTTTTTAAACTTTCAACACAATCTCTGTTCTGCTCTGAAAAACTGGCAGACTGTTTGTGTTTGGGGTGTATTTTGTAGCCTGCTAAAGCACATCTTCCAGTCTCACTTCATCTGAAAAGAATCCCATTCTCATGCTCAGTGTGCTTCACATCATAAACTGAAGCCAACACAATGAGGACAACCCAGAGATTGGTTCCAAAATCATGCTTCTAATCTGATGTGCTCATACAGATGTGTATCTTTTTTCCCCAAAATGATTTTTATGTATCAAATACAAACTTCATTCTCAGAAGAACCCTTTAATTTAAAGAGAGACATCTTCTACCAACAACTCAGAGGCAAGAGTCTGAGAGGCAGCTGGGGGCTAGATCACGTTTTGGTTCCACAGCACTACATGGAGCCAAACAGAGCTTGTTTGATTTCCTGGCAGTTACAATTCAGAGACACAGGGAACAGATGCTATTTAAGTGGCTATTCCAGTAGTTACTTTCTTTACTGCAATGAGTTCTAACATTATCTACTGTGATCATCCTTGTCAGCTGCTAATCAGCTCTACACATTATTAGTCTCAGCTGAAGGTTTTTTTAAACTGTACAAGAGTCTCATTTTCTCATTTCCTACTCTGTCCTTTCTGTTTCTTAGATATTACAAACTCTCTACTCCATTTAGTACTTGGCCATGAGACTATGTCAAGTCTGTTATGAAAAAGACTCCCAACAATAATAATTCTGTCAAGTCAGAGTCATCTCAGTTTCCTTGCACAGCAATGGGTCCAAACCAGTGGGACTTGTTTCCAAGTGGTGAAAAAAAAAGTGCAAAAAATTATGTTAACATCCCTGATCATTTTTTTAACTTAAGATGTCTAAAACCTTTGAAAGTAAAATGCACAATATGAACAACAGACGATGTGTTCAGAACCTATTACCAAGCAATCATACATCTTTCCCTGCCTCCCCCACAAAAAAAACCCAAAACAATCAAAAAAACCCCACAAAACCCAACAAAAAACAAACCCCTATGTAAGCAATTTAAGTGGTTGACACATGATGTGAAGCTTCCCTTGCACCACTCACAGCTGTACATAAAAAACTATTTTTAAAATGCAACCTTGTAAATAATTTATTTATCAGGCAGGGAAGCTAAAATGTAACTGAGATTTAAACATGACTGGAAAATGCTCCATTATGAGAAATGGTTTTTACTAGTCCTTTAAAATATGTTAGGTTTGTTGGTTTGCCTTTTTTTTTTTTTACAGAGATAAAAATATTCAATAAAGGTTGTGTTATGAAAATGTGACATGGAATTCAACAGAAAGGAATAAAAGAAGTTCCATCTTTCATTAACACCAATATTTGTTTAGAAGTGTCTCTCTGTTGACATTCGGGGAATGCAGGGAACTAACAATGCAGCTGGCTGTTAAACCTGAGAGTTAAAATTCTGCTATCTCTAGGAATGACAACATGGATGGCATAAGTTTCATCTGTTGGTTCAGGTTTCCAAATCTCTGACAGGGAACTTCATCACATCAAGGAAATATTGCAGACGACTCAGTCTCTGGCTTCCCTCCCCCAGGCCCTGCCAGATTCATGGTAACTAGAAGACCAGAGACTACTGAGAGTTGCTTTCTTATGCAAGTCAATGGAATACTCCTGTTTCATTGCAGGACTGAGAGACTTCCTCACCTCACTGCCACCAAATGTTCAGATGAAATCCAAGGTGAAACATGGCACAGAAACCAGGAAAATTAATTGTTAGTATGTTCAGTACTAACACCAGTTTGGCTATCTTTAGCCAACCCTCATACAAACAAGGGCCACTTCCAACTGCATTTATCACTCAGCACCAATCACAGAAGAGATTTTAGACACTCATTGAGGTTTGTTGCAAATTTAACCAATTTACATCAAGCTTGTACAAGCACTCTAGTGAAGATATTAAGTTAAAGTATTTCTTTTGTTGGCTTGGAACTTTCTCTGTGCTTGCTGGAATACTAAGCCAGGCTGACACTGACACTTGGGAGCCCCTGATTAAGGCTCTTCACTTAGTGGGGTAAAATCGCTGAAATAAAAGAGCATTTTTCTGTCTGCAACTATTTCTGCTAATGTAAGAAACTAAACCCAATTTTTCTTTCAGCTTTATTCAGAGCCACAAGCCAAACCAGGAGATGAACCTGAAGGATGAGAGAAGAATCTGGGGAAGTAGAATAAACCATAATACAACAAAGAAATTATGGTTTATAAACAGAAAACCTGCCTCCACTGAGTGGGGAAGAGATTCACTAAATTCATGTAAGGACTGAATATCCAATAATCTGGAAACGGCTGTGGCCACACTGAAAAGTGTTTCCTTTTTCAATGACTTGAAAAAAGCAAAGGAAGTATTATGCAAATACTTAATTATTCTGTTTTTATGAAACTTACCAATTGCACGTCTGAAGTTTTCCATTAGAACTTCTGTTTTCTTGATCTCAGTGGAATAGACCTCACTCCCAACCATAGGACAAAAAGGAACCTTACTTCCCAGTTCCTGAGCAATAGCTAAAGCCAAAGCAGTCTTAAAAAAACACAAAAACAAAACCCACACATGAATTTTTATGAGAAATAACTTTCCTCATCATATCACCTTCCAAATATTAATGATCAATTTAACATTAAGACTATTTGGTGTGATATAAATTTTCCATGTACAACAATACTCCTCCCCCTAAAATAAGTTAGACACAAAAAGTGACTTTTATCAAAGACTTATAAAACACATGAAAGAAACAATACTGGGCATTTAAATTTGACATCTGATACAAATTCAAAAACCATTAAATAGCACAGGAAAAAAATAAGCAGAGCAACAATTATTTAGGCTTTTAACATAAAATTATTAACTTCAAAGAATTTTCTTCAGAGACCACGTTACCCAATTTTTTGGCAACCTGCAAGAGCTGGTTTCCTGTGAACCATGTCTGAACACACCAGTGGACTCTACCAGTGTTGATGACATGGCAAAAATGAAAATACAAAGCAGGAAACCATGTCAATACATTGACAAAAAAAAATATTCCAGTAGATGAAAAAAAACAAATGTATCCACTACCCTAAAGTGGTTTTGACAACATATTAAAATAAAATAGATTTGGGAAACCTTTATTTCATATTAAAATAAGCAAAAAAAATAATACCTTGCCAGTTCCAGGAGGTCCTGCCAACAGCACAGCTCTGCCAGCCATTTTCTTGCTTTTGATTAGTTCCACTATAATCCCACAAGCCTATAAGTTAAAGAAGCATTTTATATTTAACAAAAGTATTGCTATAATATCCCTTATCCAGTATTACTAGAAGTGTTCAGAAATGTTAGGTTTTGTGTGCCCACTAAAAATAAAAGACAGTTTCAATTTTATGCCCAGAAGAAGCAAGGAAAGATCTGAACGACCTGATTCCTACCATCATTTTATCTGGCACTGACATTAAAAAAAAATGACAGACAACCAAGCTGCAACCTAAGAGCACAGACTCCTTCCCCCTCTGGGACTTGCATGCCTATCTCAAGCTTTAAAAACAAAGCAGGAAACGAATTTCTGCCTTTCAGAGCGACAGATTAGCTGAAGCACCAGCTCAGGGACTGAAACGGAAGATTCAGTGGCCAGGAGCACCAAATCTGACTTTTGGTGGGTTTAGTTGCCTTTGCTGCCCCAAATTCTACCCCTAAACAGAGGGGACAGACCCCGGCCCTTGCCTCCCGCTCATGCCAAAAAGCAGCGGCACAAGGAACAGCCCCGATTCCCTCATCGCTCCTCACTCCACAGGAGGACACAGGGAGGAGCCCAGGCGGGACCCAGCGCAGATCGGACCTGACCCCCGCCATCCCCGGGGCCTTCCCCTCAGCGGGGTGACCCCCCCGGGCCCCGCCGCCCGCCTCGCTCACCTCCCGCGCGTTCTCCTGCCCCACCAGCCCGGCCGCGGCCGGCTTGGCCCGTCCGCCCTCATCCACCCG